CAATACTTGAAAAGTGATTATTCATAATTTCAGCTATCTCCAAATCATTATTAACAATTGTATCATCAACCTTTATTGATTCAATGTGATTTTTCTTGTTAGTTCTTGATCCATCTCTAAGACAATAATTTATTGTATCCCACATTTTCTTCGGTTTGCCTTCAGAGTCTTCAAACTTTTTATTGATATATTGGGCCTTTGCTCGTTTGATCAAAGCATTCACTTTATTTCTTTGTATTTTATATTCATTGAAGAATTCTGGATTATCATTATTTTGTTTATGTTTTTCGAATTTTATATTTCTTATTTTCATTTCCTTGATAATATTATTATTTATCCACCCATTGTTTTCTCGTGTTCTGAGGTACATTTTCGATGATGATTGATTTTTTGCTTCCAAAATGATATTTATTAAATCTCCAAATTCTTCATATTCACTTTGAATTAATTGATCAGAGACGATCTGTTTGAATTTTGAGTAATCAATTTTTACTATTTCACGTTTTCTAAATTTCTCCAAGTTGAGGTTGAGTTTGTTAATTGACGTGAACATTATTCTGTGATCAGTTATGGAAGTATTTTCCAATGAAATTTTCAAATTCAAATTATGACAGTTAGTCAGTATATGATCGAGAATACTAAAGGAATTATTTTGATTTCTAGTATAATCAGTTGGATTCAATTCATTTACAATACGGAAATCATTGCTTCCTATTATGCTTTTATAATTCAAAATATCAGCATTGTCTGATAATAAATTTATATTCATGTCTCCTACTATAATGGTTTTTTTGTTTGTTTCCATGATTTCATCCAAGTATTGCAAAAATTCAGCCAAGTTTGAACTAGGTGGCCTATACAGAGCAATAATCCTCAATTTATATTTAAATTGAGAAATTTCTATCTCTATTGTATTGTACTCTTTGTTTAAATTTTTATCAATTCTCTGAGATTTTAAACCATTTCGTAGATAAATTGCAACTCCACCTCCTTGTCTATCATTTCGACAATTATGTATACTTGAAAAGTTAGGAATCTGATAATAATTAGTTTGATCTGATTTCAGCCAAGTTTCTGTTAGAATTAGTATATGTGGTTTATATTTTTTTATTACAACTTCTATTTCATCAATTTTGTTTATTAAACTTCTTATATTCAGATAAAGGATATTGAAATTATTGAATGTTGTGAGGATTGATGTATTCGTACTATTCATAATTTATACTATTTTTTGCTAAAGTAATTTTATTTTTTTTAATAATTATCTTTACTCCTATAAATTGGTGACCCCGATATGTCTGAACCCAGCAATAATGATTCTACATCGTCAGAAGTTTCGAGCATCAATTTCAAGCTACCAGATTTTTGGCCGAATGATCCGATCATATGGTTCACACAGATTGAGGCAATATTTTCAACAAGGAAAGTCACTTCAGATAAATCGAAATATAATATTTTATTATCTTCGTTGTCGCCTGAATTAGCCACTGAAGTAAGAGATATTTTGCTGAATCCACCTGACATGAATGCTTACGAAATTTTGAAAGACGCAATTATTAAGCGTACCTCGATTTCCGATCAAAAAAGGTTGAAGCAGCTTCTATGCGTCGAAGAGTTAGGAGATAGAACACCTTCACAGTTACTTCGACGTATGCAACAATTATTGGGCGAGAAGGCGAATACAATTGACAAGTCTATTCTGAAACATATCTTCCTCCAGAGACTTCCCAGCAGTGTCAAAACCATTCTAGCAAGTCTTGGTGAAGAAGTTTCGCTAGAATCTCAAGCAATAATTGCAGACAAAATAATGGAAACTTCTCTAGATTCCTATTCTGTTTCCCATGTAATGAAGAATTCGGCCATTGATAATTGTACTACGAGATGTTCCAATAGAGAAGAGATGATGAAATTGTCGAAGGAATTGTCAGAGCTACGAGAATTGGTTAATTCGTTACAACTAACGCATCGTTCACCATTCCGGAAGCAGTCTGATAGTAGAAGCAGGTCTCCTTCAGCTAATAAGAACTACTGTTTCTACCATAAGCGTTATGGACATCGAGCACATAAATGTATTGCCCCATGTATTTGGTCATCGGAAAACTCCAGTGCCAACAATTAAATGAGGCTGAATTTGTTGGCACTACTGAGGATCATCGCCTCTTTTTCACGCAGGATAGGTTATCTGGTAATAGGTATTTAATTGATACTGGAAGTCAAGTTAGTGCTCTTCCTGCTCAATTCCTTATCAATAAAACACCATCAAAATTATTCCTTCAAGCAGCTAATAACAGTAAAATTCATACATACGGCTTTCGATCCATGAAATTAGATTTGGGTTTCAAACGACCTATGTAGGCTACTCACATGTTATACCTACATCTTAAGTCGTTATCATAGTGATGTAATTGCAGATGTCTTAACCATGACGATTTAATAAACATCATAATTTTGATTACCAAAAAGGTACATCTTTGGTATTATTCATTATAGGATTATATCTTAATAATTATCTTTACTCCTATATGTACAACCACCTCCCAATAGAAATGAGGAAAATCAGCTTGCTTGACGACTTCCGGAAGAGAGTTAAACGTCTACTATTGGATCGAGTTTTTTAACGACGAGCTTTAGCGGACTTACTTATTCCTGATTTCTATGAAAATTTAACTATTTGTTGTAATTTGCTGATGGGTATTAGAAACACTCATTAACTAAACTTATGTGCATTAATTTTGAACTGGTGAGACATATTTCTAAAGTTTAAATTATAATTAGCGTTAGTGGATTTGTATGCATAGGCTTATTCCTGTTTATGTAGATTATATTCCTTTTTTAAACTGATTACGTCTCTTGTAGACTCTTACCTGTTGATGTTACTATTGTTTAATTTTTTTACTATTGTTCATTTCAAGACTTAAGGTTATCCCTAAGTAACAAGCTTGGTCAATGAAAATAACTTCTTTGGACAATAAAGCATATTTCTTCTTCTTCTTCTTCCTATCTCGGTGAAGTTGGCCCAAATTCCAAAACAACATTTTTCATGAAATATTTTAGCGAAAAAGTAATTAAAACTAAAATGTATTTCTGACATACAACATACGATATTTTCATTCAATATTAGCCTGAAATACTACATTTTTATGTAACAGAACAATTATCTTACGAATTCAAAAAGCTGCCGATTAAGAAAAATGAACGAAATCAGAGAGTAGCAAATCACATGGTGTAGAACTGTTTCAATTTTCTCGGAGACGTGTTCGCAATTCTGGGACGATTCTTGTGGGATTCGTTTGACGATTTTTTTTTTCATAATATGTCAAGGTTTCAATCGGCGATGGATCTGGACTACTCGACGTCCATTTCAAAACTGGAATATGGTTTTCTAACAACCACTTTCACTTTTTCAGCCGTATGGCGAGCGGCACCATCTTGCTGAAAAATACATTTGATTGTTCAAACGCATTTGTTCAATAATTTGAGCCGTTGGGCCAACTTCACTGAGACAGGGCTCCTATAACACAAAATTGCTCTTGTTTCACTGTGCTCGAGAAATCAATGAGGTACTTTCTATATCATCAATTTTCATTAATTCTGTTATTATTTCACACAATCCCATCTCCCATGAAATGTGAAATTTCAAGGAATGACAGCTCTGTCTATTAGATGAGCATGGTTTAGGAAAAGTCAGAATGCTCGAAGCTGAAAGAATAAAAAATTTCGCTGTTCTCTGGTACAGCCGTAGAAAAAGTTTGGTGTATAACTCGCACGGAATGCTAATTTCCAACTCGTATGATTGCCGCATTCGCCTATTCCATACTCGTTGAACAATATACTATTTTCAATAATTACTATTGAAAGTCAGCTCTAATGTGTCATTCCAGTGTCACAGTGTTATTCTATTCCATCAGTATTGAAATTGATTGACGTTATTAACCTTCAACATTAATGGCAAGATTCGTTCTAATCGTCTTACCGTAATCCTTTGAGCTCCAAAAATGCTGTTAGGTTGAAAAACATACTAAAACCTTGTGATATGTATTAACTCAATAATAATAATAATAATAAAGTTTATTCAAAATGTTTACATAATTTAAATTAAAAGTATACATATTGGTATTGAATAAACGAAGAAAACCTTATGAAGTATAACTTGTTGTAAGGTAGGTAAATAAGATAAATATTATGTTTACTGAATCAATTGATCAATAAAGAAAGCAATAGGGCAGTGTCAGCTGACGTCACAACATGGCGCACTTATCGTTTTTATCAGCTGATCGGGGGGACAAACGAAACTGTGAATATCCATTTTATTATTTCTGACCTATTGGTCGAGCTATGGGTGCTTTTCTTGAATTTGTAGATATTATAAGAGAAAAATGTGTACATGTTGCAAACTGAGAATCTATTGAGGTATATTACAAGGTATATTTGGTATATTTGAGCTGATATCTAGTGAATCCAGTTATTTTAAATTGACAAATAAATCAATTTAATTTCTTCATTGGACTGACTCACAGTATTATTCAGAAAGAATGAATTAACAGACATGTCTATAGAAAAATGCTATAGGTATTGTATTATAGTGGGAAATGTGCGAATAAGTTACATGTACCTTTATGTAAAATGTTTATGCTTGCTGTTCAATGGCCAACAATTTTACGTCATATGACGTCACTGACATTTCTCTATACAGAATTACTTCAGTGGGTCTGAACTAGTCTGAAGTGATTTCTGATTTGTTTGAAAAAATATACAAGAATGGGAATCGGAGTTGCTCCACCATCTTCCTTTCATCATTTTGTGCTTTGGCAAGGTACAAGCACACTTGGACAAAATTTGGTACATTAATATTTTCAGTCATATTAAATTCACTGACTATTATTTTGATTTCAATACCCATATTACGTATAATACATATCGACATGAATGTTTATGCACCCATTGAAGAATTATTACTATGAATAGTATGAATTGGAAATTGGATGATTTTTTTATTTCAGGAATCTCTAGAGAGAATGTGTACCAACAGGACCACAATTATTGTCGCTCATAGATTATCAACAATCATCCATGCTGATGAGATTTTAGTTATTAAAGATGGAGAAATCGTAGAGAGGGGGAGGTGAGTGTATACAGTTGAAATATCAACTATGCTAGATGATCGACCGACATAATGATAGATATAAATTTTCTTTCAAAACTTTCATCAGCATAATCACTCCATGTAGTTGGAAAATAAAAATAATTACTTGAAGACAATAGTTTATAACCAGTGAACCAGTGTTATGAACGTCCTTTTAATAATGAGTGTTCAATAAACGAATGTCTTGATGGGTTTAAAAATTCGTTACATACCATACTTTTTCTATGAATGGTTAAAACAAAATTGTATTTACCGGAAGCTGTGGCTGCTGCTGACGATATAATACAATGTTTAGTCAATAATATTTCTTCATCAATATAGGGACCTAAAAATGTTGTCACGTCTGTATATTTAATGAATCTATTGTTGAGAGTCAACTTACGAATTTGCATCCAAGATGATGTTTTCCAAATCACTTTTGATATCCTGTTCGATATCATTTGATTCTTTCAATGTTGTATCATCCGCAAATAATTTCAGCTTTCCTTTCAAGTTCAGAGTGGATATTGAATTAATATTGATTAATAATAAAATTGGTCCCAGAACTGATCTTTGCGGTAGTCCACATGATATTCTTTAGTGAGCCACAAGTATCATTCACTTCAACATACTGCTTTCTATTTGTCAAATAATGTGTTAACCAATCATGAATTCTTCCTCTGATAACGATTGAATATAATTCATTTAGTAAAATGGTATTATATACAGTGTCAAATGCCTTACATAGGTCCAAGGACAAGAAGCCACATTTATGATTTTTGTCAATCCGTGACTGGATGTCCGAAATTACATCCATTACAGCTATCTCTTTATCATTTGACCTACGGAATCCATATTGACCACTATCCAATAGATTGTTATTTCCGAGAAAGTCAAGAAGACGATAATTCATGATTTTTTTCTATAATTTTCGAAAGAACAGGGAGGACAGATACTGGCCTGTAAATATTCACATCGTCTTTCTTACCAGTTTTGTTTATACTTCAGCAATTTTCATTTTGTCAGGAATAATACCAGTTTCAAGAAATTTGGAATTTTTTTTTAACAAGATAGGAGTTAATTCAGATTTGATCACTTTTACAATTTTTACAGTTATGAAATCAAATCCACAAGATTTCCGTACATCAGTGACGGCTCGTCAGGGACGGCAGGGTCGGCTATTTGATGAATACAATTATTTTCCGAAACTGTTTTCATAATTCATCGTTCATTATCCTACTGTTATGCCACTATTATTTCAATTTCATTCACTGGATCCTTTGAGTATGCCGTCCGCATATACTCCGAAAATCACGAACTAATTCAGGACCTACGACATCTGGTAATCCCATCGTCAAAACGCCGCTTTAAGTTGAAACGCTCGCGTAGCTCATTACACTGATGCAGACGGCCGGCCGATCGGTGGTTTCTTGTCTCGACGCATCGCCTACAGATTCCCCGCTTCAAGTTTGAATTCTCGCGTATACGCGAACGATACGCGTCATACCTTGGGTGCGGCCAAGCTCTGCTGGCCGTCCGTACGTACGTAATCAGTAGTTTGCAGTGCGCTCGCTGTGCACCGTATCCGACCATTACGACCTAATTTTAATATACGGATTGGCATGATTGACATTCTATTTTCATTTTACATTGTAGGTATTTATAATTTTTATTCCTATACTTATTTGTAAGTTGATGTTGAAATTTGAAATGTACAAACTGAAAAAAAAAAAAAAATTCGATGTTTTTGTTCACGCTTGCAGTAGTTGCAGTAAAAATGACTGGTGATTTTTGAATTTGCAATTTTTCAGTGATTCATAATTCAACATATCCATCTAATATTGGTATCAGAATTTTCCTTCAGTGCCTCTGAGCGTCAATAAGTTATAATTCAATTTGAATATTGTAATGTAACCTACTGTGCCTCTGCCTATGTAGGTAATATGGCAAGAAAAATGTCAGCAGTCCAAGAGCTGAGTAGGTATTGAAACATCGTAAAAAAGCTCTGGTGACGAAAATGTAATAAATGTATAACTTCCAGAATATCATTTATTTTCAAAGACGCATGTAGCGGTTATAAATAATATTTATGCATCCATCGCGGGAAACATTATACCAGAGATTATACACTCCTGATTCCTGATTATACCTACGGCTGCACGGCGGGCTCGGCCAGCCGACTACGAAGGAGTGGGGTGGCTTGTTACAGGAACGGCGTAGACCGATTTAGGATTTAGTCATTGTTGTGCTTCTCGCGTTAGGTGAGTGGTTGTCGGTTATGTTGATTTTTTTGAGTGTACGTTACGTTTTCAACAGAATATAAATATTTTTTGTTCACGAGTTATTTTATTTTCTTTCATTTTATTTTTTCGACTTTCTTGTTATTGTTTTTTCATCCCAACTAACCCTTATCCACCTCCTTTTCCTTTCCTCATTTCCCCTGGCGAGAATGCTCTAACCTCGTGGTTCTTGCTGGACAATTTAATTTTTTTGTTATGTGTACAGGGTTATTCACCATAAATGTCGCCCCCTCTAGCTCAGTTATTTTTAAACCGATTTCAAAATTTGAAATATCATCTTGAATGATTTTTGATTGAGTTTTTTTCCGCTACATCAGAAAATACAGGGTGCTCAGAACAAACGATCTACAGGGTACCATTTGATTTTTTTATATGGAACACCCTATTTTTCATTGTATTTTTAGATTCTCCCTGAAGAACTGATTTGCTCAATGTATCACACTTGGGGTCTATCGGGAATGATTACAGAGATATAGGGTGTTCAAAATCGGGATTTTTCAACTTTAGGATTTTTTTGAGACGAAACTATTCATCATCGGTCAAAACGGCTTTTATGTCCATATCTCAACTTTTGATTGACTATCTACTGACATTTAATAATTGGAACAGATACAGGGTGATCAGAATTCTGAATCTTGAACCACCCTGTAAATGTTCCAATCAAATCTCAATAGACAGTTAATCAAAAATTAAGATGGAAACATAGGAGCAGTTTCGACCAATAATGAATAGTTTCGAGACAAAAAAATCCTAAACTTGAAAAATCTCGATTTTGAACACCCTATATCTCTGTTATCATTCCCGCTAGACCCCAAGTGTGATGCATTGATGAAATCAGCTCTTCAGGAAGAATCTAAAAATACAATGAAATACAGGGTGTTCCATTTGGAAAAATCGAGTAGTACTCTGTAGATCATTTGTTCCGAGCACCCAGTATTTCCTGATGAAACGGGAAAAAAAATTCTGAGAAATCATTTTAGATCATCCTTCAAATTTTTAAATCGGGTCAAAAATAAAGTGAGCTAGAGGGGGGGATAATTATGGTGAATCACCCTGTACATGCTTATTTGCCATCGAACTTCACTCAAGCCGCTGACCCAACGTGTTACGTTCGCATTTTAGAGCAATATCTATACCCTGGCCGACCCAGGTTCTGAGGGCACGAGCCGTCACTGCCGTACATCCAATATGTTATCGATTATATTTCGAAATTCTGGAATATTTGTTGGTGGGGGTTAGGAACATAAATAAAACACTTGATCAATCGTTCAACTTTTCAGAAATTGGAGGTATTTTCGAAGATAAATTTGGAAATCCATTAAGTACTCACATTATTTACATGAGTTGAGCTATTTTTATCGGTATTACAGGCATGAACATCTCATTGGACACGAAGGTGTTTACGCGAATATGTGGAGGCAACAATTAGAAAGTAAAGATGCACCTTCCTCGGCAGAAAACAGCTTGGAAAAAAGTTCCACCTAGTGATATCTTCTGAATAACAAAAATGAACAATCCATTCATGATTCTACCAGGCCACCAGAAGTTTCAAATGAGGGAATTGGGTAGCGAATAAAGAAGACTAAATGAGACATTCCAGGTGGCCTTTTTTTATTTTTTTGCTGAGTATTCTGATCTTGAGGGTATTAGTTTGTTATTGTTATGTATGTACATTATTTTTAATAAATTAAACTGATATATCGTTTTCATCTTACTTTCATTGATTAAATAATCTCTTGTTCAAATTTCGTGAATTTTTCAGGTCATATAAAATCATCACAATAAAGACTAAGGAACATTTATCATATGGATTTTATCATTCGTATTGCATATCAAAAAGTCCGTCCTGAATGAGGGTTGTCGAATTGTAATAGATGAAATTTTTGTGCGACTGTGAACGTGCGACAAAGAGGTCCGAGACAAAATATCCCGTGCGATATACGAAGACGGAGTTGAAGTTGCGCGAATTGTGTTCGCAATAAAACAACGCATGTTCAATTTATAGGCGAATCTTGCTAAGGAGCACGCCCTCTACCGTTGCCTAATATAACTAACGTATGGGCCATTGATTGCTTTGTTTACATTAGTTTGTGTGTGTTGTGCATGAGAAGTAGTTGTGTTTACATTGTTTATAATTTTGTTTGAGAACTTCTATAAACGTTTAAAAACATGAATCATTATTGTTGTGTACCTCATTATTCATCTTGAGCAAAAAAAAACGAGTATAGCTTTCATACCTTTCCAAAATCAGGACAGTCCAAATTTGTATTTGAAACTAACTTTGGGAAACAAGGAAGTGATCGATAGGAGAAAGGTGTGGATTCATAACTTGAAGATTGTAAAAAGTGTCTGAACATAATGAGAGATTGTTTTTTACACTTCACTGAAAATGTACTCATATATATTTTCAAATGTATGTCTATTATGAATATAATATCGACTTCTTGAGGTAATGGTAAAATAACAAACAAAATTCAAACTGATTATATTTATTTATTTATTTATTTATTTATTGAACAAATAACTTCCAGACAGAATAGGCTCTGGTATAAGGAAGTACATAATTATATACCTATAGGTAAACATAGCATCATTCAAAATATATCAACAACTGTAAATTGGCAAACAAAGAATATTTGTAAAAAAAAAATGGCATGATTAATTTTATCCAGTCCGCTGAGAAATAATCAGTTTTTTTACTTCATTTTTGAATATACCTATATTTCTGCAATTTTTTATATTATCAGGTAGTTTATTGAATTCAGTTAAGGCTGAATGAGTGAATCTTTTTTGTCCGATTAGGGAGCTAGCGGCGTCAAGATGGAACAAGTTATATTGTCTAGTTTCATGATTATGAATTTCAGAATTCCGTATCAAAATAATATTCGACTTCAATTTTTTATTTATGATATATGATATTTTGAGAGTTTCAATTCATCTAAAGAATACGTATTTGTTATTTCATACAATTGATTGGTTGGTGTATCAAATGGGAGACGATACAATACTTTTAACGATTTTCTATATAATGTTGATATTTTATTGAAATTATTTTTTGAACAAGATCCCCAAACATTTATTAAATAGTTGATACGACTCCGTATATGAGAGTAGAGAATCATGTTTGCAATTTTAATATCAAGTTTGGGACATCTTCTCAATGCACCAATAATTGGAGATATTTTTTTGTCAGAACATCAATGTTTGTCCCACTTCAACCTGTCATCAAACCAAATACCAAGATATTTTATCTGTTCAGTTTTTTTTCAAGAGTTCATTTTTTATTTTAAGGTTGAGGTAAATTTTTTGTTCATTTTTTTGGTGAAAAATCATATATTGTTTTGTTAGTATTTATCGATGAAAGGTTAGATTGAAGCCATTTTTCAAATATTTTCAAGTCTTCATTTATCATATTTTCTGAATCTGAAGGATTCTTGCCTTCATATAAAAGTACTGTATTATCTACATACATGGTATATTCACACGCTAGACCAATTTCACTGATATTTTGAACATAAAGTAAATATAGTATAGGTCCTAAAACAGAGCCTTGTGGGACTCCCTTATTGATTAATAGTTTATTCGACACAGAGTTGTTTGATTTTGTATTGATTGTCCTATTTTCAAGATATGAATTCAAAATATTTCTCACAGTGCCTCTGCGTCCCATTGTTTCTAAGTTTTCTAAAAGTGTTTTATGATCAACTGTGTCAAAAGCCTTTTTGAGATCAATGAAAACAGCTACCACATAATTTCCTGAATCAAGTCCTCTCTGGATTGATTCTATCACATGTAGTACTGCTGCTTGTGTTCCACTGTTTTCTTGAAAATCAAATTGATTAGAATCAAAGCTATATTTTTGTTGATGAATTCTACAATTCGTTTCTTGAGAATTTTTTCAAAAATTTTAGAAAATATGCTTATTAAAGCTATTGGTCTATAGTTAGTTGGATCCTGAGCATTTCCATTTTTGAAAATAGCTCTTACTGATGCATGTTTCAATTCGTGTGGGAAACTTTCTCTCATGAAAGATTCATTGATCAATTTTGATATTGGTGTAGCTAAAATGTGTCTCAATTCAAATATGTCTTTAGTAGAATTTTTTAACAGTAAAGCATTTTATCAGGTGTTTGATAATTGTGTTGTAAAAAGTCAAGTAGAAAATATATACCTTTGCCCTTGGAAAGAACATTTTATTCCTGAAAAGTATGCTGGATTTTCTTCTAAAAATAGCATGCATCAGGGAAATATCCCAGCCATATATTCGAATTGGAAATCAACATCCCACACAGGTTGAATTTTTGTTCGATACTGATAAAAACTCACAGCTTATGTATGTTGGTATATATGAAGTTCAACTAGAGGTAGGTAGGTTATCTAATGTTGAACAGAGATAATATAATCCTCAATTGAAACACAATAAATAGACCACTGGAAAATACAAAGTTCGAAAATAGACAAATAACAAACCTGAACGTTTGAAAACTCGAAACGAAATGAACATAAACACCATTACCAAACAATGTAAACAATTCAATGGCCCATAGAGTAGTACCGACATTCGCCGTTCTGGCGCTACGATCTTAATCTCAGTCGCGTATAGATTAAACATGTAGGTGAAAATAAATGGGACCAAAATATCTGTTTATGCCTGGCAACCCAATAGTCAGACCAGGAAAAATATAGGCAACCCTACGTTTGCATATTACAGGGTGTCCCAAAACAACCTACATTAAATTCAACAGGGTGAACTAGAGTTCAAAATAGGTCCATTGGGACCAACTTACCTCTGTTCGAAAATGCACCGTTGGGCCGTGAGAGGACGATGAATTTTGAATATTTCAAAATCCTTCCCAGCCAACCATGAGATGTATAAGTGATGTATACGCCACATCACTTTGTGACATGCGATATCGCATTTGAAGTCACAAACATGTTACCGATACAACGTGGCGATGTGAAAATGTCCGACTCAAGCAACATCAGTGTGACGTCGTTCAGACTTGAAATGCGACATCACATGAAAACTCACTACCAGAGGTCACATACAAGTGTACATTTCATATTACAAATACATCACACTGCGACATCGATGATGTGGTCGCCGTACCTGTGATATTCGTGGGATATATAATAATAATTATTCAACTTTACGAAGAAAATGTTTATTTTCCGAAAGTAAAAACAGATGATACAAAACTTATCATGACAATCACCCTAATTAGTAATCTTGAAGTAAAACATGACACATATATATATATAGCAATACAAGTACCGTAGAATGGGGTGACTTGATAAGATTTTTGACACACTTCCATAGATTGCGACCTTACCATGCAACTTTCAACCAAACTAAAAATAGTCACCAACTCTTTCGACCCTAAAGAACAGAACGATACATTAAAACCGTTTCTATATAGTGTAGTTTTCGAAAAAAAAATTGTCAAACGTCATATTTCAAGTCACCCCAATATGGGGTGACTTGAAATATGACTTCTTATCAACGATTATTTCAAGTAGGATGGTCTAGGTGGTGACATGAAATGAAAATTAAATAAAAAATATATAGAAATCATCAATTTCATAAAAAAACACTGTGTTTTAGAACAAATATTTTTTAGCAAAATACAAAAAAGATAAAAAACTACAAAAATAAACAAAAAATCATTAGACTGAAAGACTAGTTTAGCTTCTTCCGTTGACATGCGACGTTGCCACTACTTCAAAATTTTCACTGCATTTTATTTCAAGTCACCACACGATTTCAAGTCACCCCATTCTACGGTATACATTATTCATATATGATACATATCAAATACCTACACTTACATTATCTTGGGATCTTTCATCCACCTTGTTTTAGATTGCAATATTCCTATCTCAGAGATAATTACAATATTACCTATTGTGATTGAACTCACCGTCGTCCTCCAATTTGAAGCTGCTCTAATATATGTGCTATAAATCATCTCAGATATTTCAACAGAGAATTTGGAAGGAAATAGTCTGTACGGAGTCGGACTCACTGACTGACTGACTGACTGACTGACATGGCCATGCACAGCTCAACTTGGCGTCTGGCGTGTGCGTTTGTTTTGCGCATGTCTGCGTCACACTCACAGGTCACAAAGATATCTCATGAGGATATCAATGTGAATTATTTAGTTAAAGTTGAAGAGATGTAGTTTGAAGAAGTCGCTGCCACATTAAATAGTTTCCTGGTTGCAATGTCACCTTGCGTCGTTGATATCTAATCTACGTCGATAAGATGTGTTAACGATATATTGCATTTATGCAATGTTGTTACATCACACAGATGTTGATGTCACACGATGGTTGGCTGGGTATTGAGAGGTAATGCTCTGAAATTTGGAAGGCAGTCAACTAGAAGAAGTGTGCATAGATAACAGGTCTCATCAGTGCAATCGATATATACAGGGAGATACAAATTTAGCATTCTGATTGGAGAAAATCCATAGAACTTT